CATGACCAACACGACCATCAAGACCAACACGATTAACACGACCAACACGACCAACAAGACCAACACGACCAACACGACCAACAAGACCAACAAGACCAACACGACCAACAAGACCAACAAGACCAACACGACCAACAAGACCCAGCATCAAATTACCAACATGTGCATTTACAGAACCCGTTGTACCTTGTTTGTATAAATAATATATAGAATGATGCCTTTATTTAATAGAGTTGAGGTGTGGAGATGAAGGCTTATATTGTTGGGAATTATCCGGGAAGATGTGCGTAGTCTTAATGTGAACTCATTACATTTTCTGTAGATGTTTTGTTAGATGTAGAGGTATTGTGGTTATGGTGGGAGGGTCATGTTGTAGAGGGTGTAGAGGTATTGTGGTTATGGTGGGAGGGTCATGTTGTAGAGGGTGTAGAGGTATTGTGGTTATGGTGGGAGGGTCATGTTGTAGAGGGTGTAGAGGTATTGTGGTTATGGTGGGAGGGTCATGTTGTAGAGGGTGTAGAGGTATTGTGGTTATGGTGGGAGGGTCATGTTGTAGAGGGTGTAGAGGTATTGTGGTTATGGTGGGAGGGTCATGTTGTAGAGGTATTGTGGTTATGGTGGGAGGGTCATCTTGTAGAGGGTGTAGAGGTATTGTGGTTATGGTGGGAGGGTCATGTTGTAGAGGGTGTAGAGGTATTGTGGTTATGGTGGAATGGTCATGTTGTAGAGGGTGTAGAGGTATTGTGGTTATGGTGGGAGGGTCATGTTGTAGAGGTATTGTGGTTATGGTGGGAGGGTCATCTTGTAGAGGGTGTAGAGGTATTGTGGTTATGGTGGAATGGTCATCTTGTAGAGGTATTGTGGTTATGGTGGGATGGTCATCTTATAGAGGCCTCAATTTCCAACCCGGCCTCTAGAAATAATAGTACCTATGGCGATTATGGATGAAATATACAAAATATGGTCTGTTGTTCCCCGAAACAATAAACCTACGCTACATATGTTATTGAAATAGTAAATGGTCATAACAAAACTTAAGACAAACAAATACCTTAACCTACCTTCAGGTGGTTCCGATTATCAATGTTCTTGCGGCCCGGCCTCTGGTGTCCAAATTCCATCCATTAGTTTGCTCCTTTCTAAACATGACTCCTAACTGACCGTTGCCGTGTTTAATATGATTTATAACAAATCCCCATTACTTGCTGCTCCAAATACAAATATTTTCATTTGTACCCTACAATTTCACTGATATACAGCCCTGCCATTAACGTTACAATGTCTTTAATGAGATAAGGGATGAACATTAGCAGTGGTCTGTATAATGTAGATCTATTTTTCAATTATCTATTAAAGGGCGATTTGAGTAGGATTCATCCTTCTGAAGATGTACAGTATTATTAAATACGAAAGTACTTAAGGAAATTCCTGTCTTAATCTTTACTTCGAGGTCTGACACTGTCACATTGTTCATCACTTTTAAATAATTTATTCATGATTTACACACACACACACACACACACACACATATATATATATATATATATATATATATATATATATATATATATATATATATATATATATATATATTTATTTATTTATTTATTTATTTATTTATATATTGTATCTAGTAGCCAGAACGCAATACTCGGCCTACTATGCAAGGCCCGATTTGCCTAGTAAGCCAAGTTTTCCTGAACTTATACATATTTCAATTTTTTTCTTACGAAATGGTAAAGCTATCCATTTTATTATGTATGAGTTAAGTTTTTTTATTTGAGTTAAAACTAAGGTAGATATACGACCGAACCTAACCAACCCTACCTAACCTAACCTATTTTAACTTTAAACTAACATAACTAAGTCAATAATTTATGTTTTAACATAATATTATAATATTTCAAAACCACCAATTGGAAACAATATTTTGAAAATAAAGAAAATCACTCGGCCTATTAGGCAAATCGGGTCTTGCATAGTAGGCCGAGAAGTGCGTTCTGATACTAGGTACATTATATATATATATATATATATATATATATATATATATATATATATATATATATATATATATATATATATATATATATATATATATATATATATATATATGTCGTACCTAGTAGCCAGAACTCACTTCTCAGCCTACTATTCAAGGCCCGATTTGCCTAATAAGCCAAGTTTCCTGAATTAATATATTTACTATAATTTTTTTCTTATGAAATGATAAAGCAACCCTTTTCTCTATGTATGAGGTCAATTTTTTTTTATTGGAGTTAAAATTAACGTAGATATATGACCGAACCTAACCAACCCTACCTAACCTAACCTAACCTATATTTATAGGTAAGGTTAGGTTAGGTAGCCAAAAAAAGCTAGGTTAGGTTAGGTTAGGTAGGTTAGGTAGACGAAAAAACATTAATTCATGAAAACTTGGCTTATTAGGCAAATCGGGCCTTGAATAGTAGGCTGAGAAGTGCGTTCTGGCTATTAGGTACGACATATACATATATATATATATATATATATATATATATATATATATATATATATATATATATATATATATATATGTCGTACCTAATAGCCAGAACGCACTTCTCAGCCTACTATTCAAGGCCCGATTTGCCTAATAAGCCAAGTTTTCATGAATTAATGTTTTTTCGTCTACCTAACCTACCTAACCTAACCTAACCTAGCTTTTTTTGGCTACCTAACCTAACCTTACCTATAATATAGGTTAGGTTAGGTTAGGTAGGGTTGGTTAGGTTCGGTCATATATCTACGTTAATTTTAACTCCAATACAAAAAAATTGACCTCATACATAGAGAAAAGGGTTGCTTTATCATTTCATAAGAAAAAAATTATAGTAAATATATTAATTCAGGAAAACTTGGCTTATTAGGCAAATTGGGCCTTGAATAGTAGGCTGAGAAGTGAGTTCTGGCTACTAGGTACGACATATATATATATATATATATATATATATATATATATATATATATATATATATATATATATATATATATATATATATAATTAAATATGACCGAAAAAGTAAGATTAATAATTCTAACACGAATTTTCTCAATGTTTCTTATATTTTTTTCACTGTTGATGGTAACTGAAAAATCAATTCTCCAAAATTCATTTTTATTTCTAGTCTGTCGCAACACTTGAGCGCGTTTCGTAAAACTTATTACATTTTCAAAGACTTTAGTTTACACACACACATAACTATAACTGAACAGAGCTGATTGATTGATTGATGAAGATTAAGCCACCCAAGAGGTGGCACGGGCATGAATAGCCCGTAAGTGGTACAATTTTTTTCTCAGTATTCTGAGTTTGCATTTAACCATCAAGCTGTTATCGCGGGGGAGGATACTGCTTCACAGTCTTTATGAGGATGTCCAGCTGCTGGACACCTTTGTTGACCAGGAGAGTGGCTGTGTTAATGGCTTCAGGGTGGCCACTGCATGATTCTTCTTTTATAATATATACCAATCTTCTCTTATAATATATACCAATCTTCTCTTCAACATTATCTTCTCTTACAGATATTTACCAATCTATACTGTTGTTTATATTTATATAAAATATATTTGCCTGAATTTACCTGAAGGCCACCCTCTCTTTAGTGGCCTTGGCGAGGTTAGTAAGCCTGCAACTTGTCAAAGGTCCTTATTTTTCTCGATTCCAGTTCAAAATCCAGCTGGATAACAGCTGGATTTTGAACGGCAGCAATGCTGTGACTTGCGGCTTGGGGCTGGTAGACGGTTCAGTGGGTGTAACAGGATGAATGAAAAAGTATCTCCTGTTTTTCCTTCTACATTGTGGCTTATTGAGCTTGGGGCCATTTACCTTCTTTTTTTAAGCCAAAAGTTCGTTTGACTATTTCTAGGGTTTAGTTTGATTTGTTTTATTGCAGTTTCCAATTGTTGTGCCACTTGTAGTGATTGATGGCTTCTGACTCCAAGGTCCTTTCCTTCATCAATCTGCTGCAAAGTAATGTTGTTGATTTGGTATTTGTTATAGGCATTGTTATGCCCTACATGCAGGGTCTTGCATTTGTCGATATTAAAAAGCAATTGTCAGTGTTGCGACCACTTGAGGAGTTTAAATACTGTATATCTCTTTGTAAGGCCTAAATGTCATTTTCATTTCCAACATTACCATAGATCTTTGACATCTATGTCAGTGATGTATAAGACAAAAAGGGTTGAGCCCAAGATTGAACTTTGCGGTACCCGCACTCACCATACCTCGAGTCATTCATTTCCACAGCAACGACCAATTAGGCGTCAGGTTTAGAAGCGCGGACTAGGATGTTTCTCACGCATGGTTACTCTTTATGCACCTTAACTTCCAAAGTCATTATTTAAAGTCAGTACAAAATAAAGACTTGCAATTAGGTAAGTTACATTTTATACTATCGAAATTGTCTTACTGGAACCTAATCGAAGACAACACTTAACATTTCCTAGGTCTAACGAAACCTAGCCTAAGCCTAATGTCTAACATAGTGCATATATATTCACTATACTACGCCAAGAATACGTTTGGTTAGGCCTTGGATAGTTTAAGGTGTTGTCTTTGTTCTTGGATAAGGGTTGTATTGATGATAACCATTTTCAAAAGTACAAAATATGGGCTGTTATATATACGTAAGCGTCCATATATTGTACATATACCCCTTTGCTTAATACACAGGTGTAGTGGAATAGGGGCTGTAGTTTGACATTTGGACAATTATAACAACGTTTTCCCTCACTCCGCAGTGCTACTTCCCGTTTTCTCTGCAAGGTCTCCCAGTTTCCCGTTTACCTTGCGCCTGTGCTCTCACAATTTCTTGGAGTGGGCGCTAGAGGTGTGCGTCGGCCGTGTCTATCTTTAGCAAGGGCGGCGGGCGGTGGGGCAGAGTGGAGTGTGAGTGGGCTAGTCTTGGCTGGTGTGTGGTGTGGGCGGCCGCCTCACGTGTCAGTGGTGCAACCCGGGATCTGTGTCCCCCCCCTCCCCCTCTCCTCAGTAGCCACAGTGACCCCCCAACGTACCGCAGTGCAAACAGTCACCTCACCAATACCCGCTTCTGGATTACCTCAAGAAACATCTACTCCACTGGATTTTACACTCACCGCCGCCCAGCATCATTCCCGCTCTCTCATGTCTCCTCTCGCTCGCGCGCTCTCTCTCACTCTCCCTCCCTATCTCTAACTCTTCCTCCCGCTTTGGACTACATTCTGTTCTCCTGCTGCTCTTTCTCCTGACGCTGCGTCTCCTGCTTCATCTCCTGCTGCTGCTGCCGTCGACGCCGCTACTGCTG